CACACATTTTTCTTTTTAAGTCAAAATGACTAAGTACGATACACATAATTTACATGGTTTCATTTTTATAGCTGGACAAAACTCACACAACAGGGGATAACTTCATCAAGAGCAAGGACTTCCATTTGGGACTTTTATCCTGAGAGGCAAGGCTCTTTTTGGGCCAGAATAGTCTGAAATGGTGTGCTGGAATTGGTTGAAGATGTCTGCATATGTACATTAGACTTTTGGCACCTCCTTAGTCACCCCATTAGCCCCCGTCAGAAGTAACCGGGACCATCTGTTTTTTCTGCATTTGCAAAAGTTGCTGCACCTCTGCCCAGCAGCGAGGCAGGGACCTTCCAAGAACTCTCTTTGGGGGTGACAGCTCCCCTATTTGCAGCTGCAAGGAGGTCACGCCTTACAAAGGCAGAAATGTGAGAAGGTAGCACAATTAGACTGTTGCCATTTTTATTATTATTTTTAATTGGTGGCAGATGAAGTGTAAAACACTCACGTCCAGACAAAAAACTCCTTTTAGCACTGTGGTGGCAATGCAAAAGGAGGTGCGGGAAGCCAGTTAGCATGGACACACAGAGTGTTTCCCTCTTGGCAAGCAGTTCCTTTTCTTTTTTTTGCTCAGGACTGGAGCATTTCCCCCTTTTTCCTTGATTTAGATCACACAGCACATACCTGATATCATCTATCACATACCCACAGTCTCCCAGAACGCATCACCTTGAAGGCTTGCACATCCCAAACAGACAGTGTGCTTAACAAGTTAAATGAGTCGGTTCCTTCTACCTCTGCTTTCAGCCCCATAAAAGCACTTATAGGGCAATCCTCTGCTCGGAGAGGAAGGCTAAGTGACTGGCTCTTATGTAGCTGCAGGTGTGCCCTGGTATTTGCAGTAAGATAAATCTCTCCCAGTCACCTCATTTTGCAGCTAAGCTGCCTAGGCCTGTTTCCACAGTCCCGGGATTTAGGGGTGGGCCAGTTTTCATCACAGCCTAAGACTTCTGTGTTCTCCAAATGCTCTGAAAGCACCAGAATTAAGGAAATACTGAAACACGGGAGTGCACATAGCAGCCACTCTGAGCAACGAATTCATCACCTGCTAACACAGCTGCTGCCTCCCATTCAAACCTGCTATAAAGGCTTGGCACTTACAATTACAGTGACAATTATTAGGCCAGCAAAGGAAGCCCTTGCCATCCATTCCCAATTGGAAACTTATTTAGCTAAGGTTCAATGCACAGAATTAAAATGGTATTTGGTGCTTATGAGGCCTAATTGTTAGCTTGTAAACATTCAGAGCTTTCATTTATCACATTACCGTTGTGTAGAGACCTGGACCTTGGGAATTAAAGAGAGCATCCTAAGTACCGTCTATTCAGAAATCAATTCCTTGGCTGAGTCTCTGGGTTTCCTCATTTGAGCTTTTTCACATTTCATCAGCCTTTTAAAACTACAAGTCAAATAGATTGGAAAAAATTCACTATAATAATATTGCATTTAATGCCAAAGC